ATCTTAATGTTAAGTTGCACAAAGGACTCATGTTCTTCACCACGACACAATACCCCAGCCCAATGACTCGCCTAGAACTCATCCAACATCTCCAAGACAACACAGCAATGTACACCACCGACGAAAAGCCATTCCCTACCGTCAACCAGATAATCCACCAACTCCAAACCAACGAACTCTTCTACAGCTCTCCCATATGTGTGACACAACTCTCTAGAACAAAATTCAAAGCATTGACAACCGGACCAAGAGAATAACTAACTCATCCTGCTTGCTGCCTACTGACACTCTCAGCTCCTGCCGATGCCTCCGCCATCCTCTCCTAGAGAGCAAAGTAACATCATTCAAGCCTCTCCATCTACGCCTCTAGTACTTCGGTTCCACATGTCCCAAAGTGGTTGGGCCACTTTCCTTGATTCCTCCTCTTCCCCTCCTTCCCATCCTTTTCCAGTTATTTCCATCCTTCCTTATCCTTCTTCCTTCCCATCTCACGACAGCTCTTGTCGTCTTCTTCGATTCGATATTAGAAAGAATAATGCGAGTAAAAGCGATAAAAAACAAGGAAAAAATTCCAAAAAATATATGGGCAGTTAGCAGGTGTGCTACCCACATCACCGTCACCATACCTGATATAAATGACTATAATTTCTTGTAGAAACGTCGTAGAACATTGATTCTTGTACCATTGTGTTGCCAAAAGTTAAGCTATTTTTCTATATGAATATCTCAATTTCCATAATTTTTCGATTTTTTTGGAGAGCTCGCGGAAAATTGGATGACAGTCCCTAAGCTGCAGAAACCAATTATATTCATAAACTTCCTCAGCTACTGTAAGAAGACTCAGGCCCACTCATTATCAAGGATTATGTTCGTCTAGGAGTCTCTCAGTCTTCACCAGTCAGTAAACACCAGTAATTCCAAACCCTCAAATAGAGTTGGGTAAGTACCTGTATTTCCAAGAAGAGTAATCCACGTTCATTAAACAGAGTCAGTCAATATTTTCTCAGCAGAAAACATTTATCATAAACATTGTAACCATACCTACGAAGAAGTCATTATATTGCTCGCTTCTTGTACACACTGACTTTCATGTTAAGTGATTCAGTTATGATCTGCCACTCTACTTCGGGGAAGTCCGTTTTTCGGACAGCTTGCAGCAGCGTTCTTCCGAGGACAAGAAATTGTGTTCCATCAAACAACAGTTTGGCTCTTAACCATTTTCTCCCAGTCAGTGTCAAGTGTGAAAAACTGCTCACATGTTGAAGAATTAGACATACTTGATTCATACGCGAATACCACAAGGAAAGATTAATATAATACTGGTACACAATACCGACAAGCGGATATGTAAGAAGCATGTGCAACAGTTAGGAATCTTATTTTGAAATGTTTCGCCAACACAGTAGTCTCATCAGTAAAATACAGAAGTGTCGAATTTGGAGGCAGCAGAAGCGGTGAAGAGGTAAAGATTATGTGATCAGTCAAACAACCTTGAAGAGGTAGTTTGAGGTGGTCAGTCCCTAAGCCTGGAGATGTGTTCACCTTCATAGTCTTGAACAAAGTGAAGATGAAGCATGAAATTTGAGACATTTATATTGTAAAAGGTGAGTCGCAGAGAATAGAGATGACATCAGAGAAAATATTAACATAAGAACGTGAAAAACTGCAGCAAACTTAGTGGTCCATGTTAGGAAGGTCCTCAAATGCAACTCTTCTCCCTCATAACCAGGGACGGATCTACGATAAAACTAATTAAGCTTCAGGGCTTCCTAATCCCGGAGGGGCCACAGAAGCCACTTTAGTCAACCTTGCTTAAAAATTTTAGGTCTACTGTATAAAGGGGTCTTATACAAATATTAATAATATAGGAGACTGGAAGGGGACTGGGGGAGAAGTCTGGGGGAGGGGCACAGTAGAAGAGGGGACCACACTGGAGGGGGAACCTTCATCTTCGTGTGAGAGTTAGAAAGGGGGTGAAAACTCGGCACTGAGGTCAAAAAGGAGAACTGTACAGGAATTGTAAGCACCGGAGGAATGCAACGAGACTTGAGCTTTGGAGACAGGTTCAACTTCACAGGTGATAGGCACGAAGAAGGTGCAAGCGTGCGAGGCCTCACAGACCGAGAAACTAGCTGGCGAGATGAAGAAGTAGAAGTAGGAAGAGGTGCGAAGGTGGGGGTTTCAGAGAGTAAAACCGTAAAAGAATTATAGATGGAGTGACCCTGGAAGACATGACACTGGAGGAGCTGGTAGGTGGGGGACGTCATGGTTTGGAAGGTCTTCTGCTAGCTACTCGAGAATAAGGAACATGAGGAAGATTCTCCTGAAAGCGAAGCCGAGAGACAGCCATAACATAAGTAAGGCCTGCACTCTCCTTAAGACAACGGATTTCAAGTTCATTAAGATAGACCTCACATCGGCCGGAAAAAGAAGGACGAGTTTCATTGCATTAAGACAAAAGGTTTGGGTGGAAGACTGTAAGATGTATCAGCATTATCTCCTCTGGCACTGGGGGGGGGGGGGGGGCATCCGGGGCATTCTGCCACAGACCGGTCAGTATTTAGCAGAATGTCCAAAGTGTCTACAATTTCGATACTGTTGAGGTGTAGGGACCAGTCTATGGACTCCTAGGCTATGTCACGTGATAGAAACGGAGGACGTGAATTCACGGCTGTCAAAGGTTAAGTGGGTGATGTTACTGGGAAAGCCTTGCGGGCAGGACATATATATTTACTTTCAGAATCAGAAGGTCCTGAAGGGCTAATTGCTCTAAAATATCGTCACTGCAAGAGAGAAAATCACACTGTACAATGGTACCACAGTAAGAACTGAGAGTTGTGTGCTTGTGAACTCTGACAGGAACGTTATCAATTAAAGTAAGCTGGAAAGATCATGAGCTTGAATCGCGATCCTGAGCCTGTAACGATGCATGCACTGCTCTAATGAGCGCGAAAGGATAATATTTGCCAAGAGATTTAACAATATTGTGGCCTGAGAAATAATCAGTTGGAGACGTCGGTTGTTGTGAAAAGAATCTGATCCACTGTGTAGTTGTAAACATGGTGCGTAAAGGAAGTAGGTGTCGTGTAGGTCGTTTCTGGGTGGAATGAGCAGAAATTAAAGGACCGTAGTCAGATAAGGGTCTGGAACATTTAGGTGTAGAACTGAAGGCGGCCCAACCTGAGGCAGGTGGGCGATCTTAAAACTGTCACATGTATGTGGGGAAGACCGAGTGCATAAAGACGTGCAAAGAGGCAGAGGCACAGAAGACATGGGAAGAAACCTCAGCACTGGAGCAAGTGACAAAGGCATCAACCAGCACAAGGTACAGGGGCAAGGGAAAAGTCTGGAGAATAGTCCAGTAATGAAGCCAGGTCAGAAGAGGATGTGGTAACAAAAAGGGGCCTGGGAGGAGGAGGGGGATCGCTGAACTAAGACTAAATAATGGTGGCACTTCTTTCTTATTATTATTTTTAAAGAAAAAATAAGGAAAGAAAAAAGAGACAGCGACAAAAGTCATAGAAGAATTTTTACGTTCCTCCCTTCATCCGAGAGGAATCCTTTAATCTGCCACAACGCAGAGTCAGCATGGAACCTGTGGGCCATACCCATCACCCTTCACACCATTAAACTATTGCTCCGGGATAGCAACCTCACATCCAGAGCCACCTCATCGACAATAAGAGAGGCGGTCAGACACATTGCCACAAACATACCTCCCTCGGCCTGCAACCTTCCCTGAACCGACAGGCAGCCTACGGTAGATACACCCATCACCTGCAACACACCCTGCACTAACCTCCTGAAATCCAGGAAGGGAGCAGGCACCGCTCCAGATGATCCATATTCCACGACAAACTACACTACTCCCGAGGGACCCACGGAGTGGCATGAACCCCAGCACACGTTCCCCCAACTAGAACCATATTGCCAGAGATGAAGAATACCAGAGGCTAAAAACGTGAATGGTAAAAGAGAGCGGGATGGGAGAGTAGGTGGGAATGAAAAGGGGATTTGGAGAATGGGATGTAGGGAAATGGGAATGGTGTTATTAGTTTGATCAGGAGAAGAAGACCCAAAATGTCTAAATTCCTCAATCAAGAGCCTCTTCACCACGCTCAATGGAGCCCCCATGAGAGGAACTCACAAATTAAAGACCTGTATTTGAGACTGTGCCTACCTTTACATGTCCTTCACATTTTTACATCTGATATTAGAAACATTTTCCTTTAATGTCCTTTTTTCATTTTCCACACATCATCTCTGGAACTTAAATGTCTCATTTCTCATTTTCAGATTCACATTGTTCAAATTATGAAGTTGAACACATCCAGGAAGAGGTACTGAGTCCTCAAACTATACCTCTTCAGGTTGTTGAACTATCACATCAGCTACCTCTCCACTGTTTACTCGCTGTCATAATATTTACTAATACTGAAATTGACAATGAAGCTGACCCTGTAGGTAAACTACATTGTGTGATTACCCAGTCTTTTATTAATAACAATTTTGCTAAACAGCGGCCTTAGCAAGTACATTTTTGTGACTTATGATAAAACCAATTGTTTGGAGGCGAAAACGTTGTGAATAAAGGAACACATTAATCTATATTCATGTCTATTATAATTCACAAAACGTCTACACTCTTTGACCCATTCAATTCAGTCCCTTCTTCAAGATTTATGTATAATTAAATTGATCGACATGATTCCTGCCATTTCTTCAGGTGCTGAATAACCCCAATGAGTTTAGACTCACATCCGTCATGAATAAAAATATGAGTATGAAACTGTACGATTCCAAGCAGAGGTGGCTTACTTCCATGACATCTTGGATATCAGTCTCCCTCCAAGCCGTGAATCCAACAAGTTAGACATCAGAAAGTGACCATTAGATTCCAGTTTAACTCTTCCTCATAAGAATAATTGTAACATAATGCTCTAGCATGGCACATACACTGTCATATATTTACTACCATAATAAGACAAGAGTGTACTAACCCAGCAACATGTTAGTCAGCAGAAAGTGACCAAAGTGGTTGGTTGCCATCGTCACCTCCAGACCATCTGCTGTCAACTTCCTCTTCTTCATACCACTCATCCCTGCGTTGTTCACCTGACAAGTACATAATTATTGTGGAAAATTTTAATAATTTTCCCATAATTTGGGTAATAATTGAAAGATATATTAGTGTATATATAACATAGTGTAGGCGTGTAGTGTTGAAGTGAATTTTAAACGGTAGACCACAGAGGATCCAACGTCCCCTATAATTTTTCTTTTGTTTGGTAGTCAGTTAAGTAAAGCATAATTATTATAATGGTGGGAAAAATAATAATTCAATAATGAAAATATATTGCACACCTGAAAGTGTTATTGAGTTAACTCAACAATGTGAGTATGAAAACGTTGGGGAAGAAGCCGGGTAATATTGTAATGGAAGAATGGACAGAAATTTATGGCCATTTAATCCAGTGTAATGGTAACCATTAGAGAATATATTGATAAAGTGATTTAACGTCGGGATAAACAAATAGTGTATCTGGAAAGGTGCAGATCTATGAAATATCTGTCAAATTAAAGCTGTTATGTTCACCTCCTTATATGTGGTATAAAACCATAGATCCAATATTAGGTTACCCTCCTGTTAGTGAGGCGTTAGGTTGTATCAACTAAAGAATAACTGGGTAAAAATCTTTCAGGTTTATGTACACTTATAAATATTCTATCAAATTTAAGTAATACGAAAATTGTGTTCATAATTAATTAAAACAGTGGACCAACAAATTACTTGAGGTTGTTCAGTACAAAGTAATTTTTTCATTAATATATACAGTCCACAGCCAAATTTAATACAACCAGTGTTTCTGGCTTGAAATATTTTATTTAATAAATTCAAGAACTGTATGTTCATATAATTTAAGGTCCCACTTTGTGAGTTTGGGAAGTTGAGAAGGTGGACATCGAAGGTGAGACAGTGCAGTGACCCACTGTTGCTAAAGTCCCACCTGTCTCCGAGGTACAACTATATTAGTAAGTGTAATTATCCGTTTAAGATGTTGCCGAGTTCCCCCGCTGTGTGTTGAAATGTTAATTCAGGATTACCTTTAAAATTAATTACACACGATTACTCACAAATATTATAAATCGTGTATTCGATGCCTTGACTGAATTAAGGATATAGTAGCATCCAACTTAAGATACACTAGTGAGCTTACAGGTATAGGAATTTGTGATAGGAAATGTTTCAGCAAACTTCCTACGGAGGTAGTCTAGTTCTTACCTGCCTCACTACCAATTTTGTGTTGCCATCTTCTTGATGTCCTCTGTTAATGGTTGCAAACAATCATGAGAAAAAAACATCTTTATGGAAAGTAAATGCAAAGTGATTTTACGTCAATTCCAGGCTTTAACAAATAAATTTGCCTTATAATTTAAAAAATCGCTACATAATTTAAACATGTTATAAGTGATTGTGTAAAAATTAATGCAGTGATAAGGGTATTAAAATATTACTGATTCAGTACAAATAAATGATATTTCACAATAATTAATATGTCGAAATTTAGTGAAATTTGTCTCTGAATAAGTATTTATATCCTCTAGAATTTTGTTTAAAACATGGTCAGCATTGTCATGCTTCTAGTATGATAACATCAAGTGAAACGTACAGTTACCATGTTGCTAAACAACTGCTGGATAATTAGAAAGCTTAACACTTATAAGGATCATTTGACCAATTCACAGGTGGTAAGGTATTGTGAAATAATCTGCCAGTACAAATTTAGTCCATGTGTCTATGATTTGACAACTTAAGAATAAGTTTGCCTACGTGTAAGTGTGATAACCATGGTATCTGTAGTTTGCATGTTTAAATTGACTGGTTGGTGTGTATCAACGTATCAGAGAAACCTTAGTCACTGTCTTGATTAATGCAGAAGTTTAAACTTTGACATGGTGTAAAGTTTGCACTAGGTGATTAAAGTTGTCGCTGTGTTAAAGTTTGTCCAATGATGTTAAAGTTTGACATGGTGTTAAAGTTTGTCCATGTGTTAAAGATTTGCTACATATTGGTGATAAAGTTTGTCCCATGGTGTTAAAGTTTGTCCATGGTGTTAAAGTTTGCACATGGTGTTAAAGTTTGTCCATGGTGGTAAAGTTTGCCCATGGTGTTAAAGTTTGTCCATGTGTTAAGTTTGCTACTTTGTTGTTAAAGTTTGTCCATGGTGTTAAAGTTTGTCCATGGTGTTAAAGTTTGTCCATTGTGTTAAAGTTTGTCCATGGTGTTAAAGTTTGTCCATGGTGTTAAAGTTTGCACATGGTGTTAAAGTTTGCACATGGTGTTAAAGTTTGTCCATAGTGTTAAAGTTTGCCCATGGTGTTAAAGTTTGTCCATGGTGTTAAAGTTTGCACATAGTGTTAAAGTTTGTCCATGGTGTTAAAGTTTGTCCATGGTGTTAAAGTTTGTCCATGGTGTTAAAGTTTGCCATGTGTTAAAGTTGTCCATGGGGTAAAGTTTGCCCATGGTGTTAAAGTTTGTCCATGGTGTTAAAGTTTGTCCATGGTGTTAAAGTTTGCACATGGTGTTAAAGTTTGTCCATGGTGTTAAAGTTTGCACATGGTGTTAAAGTTTGCCATGGTGTTAAAGTTTGTCCATGGTGTTAAAGTTTGTCCATGGTGTTAAAGTTTGTCCATGGTGTTAAAGTTTGCACATGGTGTTAAAGTTTGTCCATGGTGTTAAAGTTTGTCCATGGTGTTAAAGTTTGTCCATGGTGTTAAAGTTTGCACATGGTGTTAAAGTTTGTCCATGGTGTTAAAGTTTCCACATGGTGTTAAAGTTTGCACATGGTGTTAAAGTTTGTCCATGGTGTTAAAGTTTGTCCATGGTGTTAAAGTTTGTCCATGGTGTTAAAGTTTGTCCATGGTGTTAAAGTTTGTCCATGGTGTTAAAGTTTGTCCATGGTGTTAAAGTTTGCACATGGTGTTAAAGTTTGTCCATGGTGTTAAAGTTTCCACATGGTGTTAAAGTTTGCACATGGTGTTAAAGTTTGTCCATGGTGTTAAAGTTTGTCCATGGTGTTAAAGTTTGTCCATGGTGTTAAAGTTTGCACATGGTGTTAAAGTTTGTCCATGGTGTTAAAGTTTGTCCATGGTGTTAAAGTTTGTCCATGGTGTTAAAGTTTGCCCATGGTGTTAAAGTTTGTCCATGGTGTTAAAGTTTGCCCATGGTGTTAAAGTTTGCCATGGTGTTAATTAAGTTTGTCCATGGTGTTAAAGTTTGTCCATGGTGTTAAAGTTTGCACATGGTGTTAAAGTTTGTCCATGGTGTTAAAGTTTCCACATGGTGTTAAAGTTTGCACATGGTGTTAAAGTTTGTCCATGGTGTTAAAGTTTGCATATGGTGTTAAAGTTTGTCCATGGTGTTAAAGTTTGTCCATGGTGTTAAAGTTTGTCCATGGTGTTAAAGTTTGCCCATGGTGTTAAAGTTTGTCCATGGTGTTAAAAGTTTGCCATGGTGTTAAAGTTTGTCCATGGTGTTAAAGTTTGCCATGCGTTAAAGTTTGTCCAGGTGTTAAAGTTTGTCCTGGTGTTAAAGTTTGTACATGGTGTTAAAGTTTGTCCCATGGTGTTAAAGTTTGCCCATGGTGTTAAAGTTTGCCCATGGTGTTAAAGTTTGTCCATGGTGTTAAAGTTTGTCATGGTGTTAAAGTTTGTCCATGGTGTTAAAGTTTGCCCATGGTGTAAAGTTTGCCATGTGTTAAAGTTTGTCCATGGTGTTAAGTTTGTCCATGGTTAAAGTTTGTCCATGGTGTTAAAGTTTGTCCATGGTGTTAAAGTTTGTCCATGGTGTTAAAGTTTGTCCATGGTGTTAAAGTTTGCCCATGGTGTTAAAGTTGCATGTTGTTAGTTTGTCCATGGTGTTAAAGTTTGCCCTTTGGTGTTAAAGTTTGTCCATGGGTTTAAAGTTGCCTGTGTTAAAGTTTGCATGGTGTTAAAGTTTGTACCATGGTGTTAAAGTTTTCCATTGTGGTTAAAGTTGTCCAGTTAAAGTTTGTACATGGTGTTAAAGTTTGCCCATGGTGTTAAAGTTTGACCATGGTGTTAAAGTTTGTCCATGGTGTTAAAGTTTGTCCATGGTGTTAAAGTTTGTACATGGTGTTAAAGTTTGTACATGGTGTTAAAGTTTGCCCATTGTGTTAAAATTTGTCCATGGTGTTAAAGTTTGTCCATGGTGTTAAAGTTTGTACATGGTGTTAAAGTTTGTCCATGGTGTTAAAGTTTGTCCATGGTGTTAAAGTTTGTCCATGGTGTTAAAGTTTGCCCATGGTGTTAAAGTTTGTACATGGTGTTAAAGTTTGTACATGGTGTTAAAGTTTTCCCATGGTGTTAAAGTTTGTACATGGTGTTAAAGTTTGCCCATGGTGTTAAAGTTTGTCCATGGTGTTAAAGTTTGTCCATGGTGTTAAAGTTTGTCCATGGTGTTAAAGTTTGTACATGGTGTTAAAGTTTGTCCATGGTGTTAAAGTTTGCCCATGGTGTTAAAATTTGTCCATGGTGTTAAAGTTTGTCCATGGTGTTAAAGTTTGTACATTGTGTTAAAGTTTGTACATGGTGTTAAAGTTTGTCCATGGTGTTAAAGTTTGCCCATGGTGTTAAAGTTTGTCCATGGTGTTAAAGTTTGTACATGGTGTTAAAGTTTGTCCATGGTGTTAAAGTTTGCCCATGGTGTTAAAGTTTGTCCATGGTGTTAAAGTTTGTCCATGGTGTTAAATTTTGCCCATGGTGTTAAAGTTTGTACATGGTGTTAAAGTATTGTCCATGGTGTTAAAGTTTGTCATGGTGTTAAAGTTTGTCCATGGTGTTAAAGTTTGCCCAGGGTGTTAAAGTTTGTCATGGTTTTAAAAGTTTGTCCATGGTGTTAAAGTTTGCCCATGGTGTTAAAGTTTGTACATGGTGTTAAAGTTTGTCCATGGTGTTAAAGTTTGTACATGGTGTTAAAGTTTGTACATGGTGTTAAAGTTTGTCCATGGTGTTAAAGTTTGTCCATGGTGTTAAAGTTTGTCCATGGTGTTAAAGTTTGTCCATGGTGTTAAAGTTTGTACATGGTGTTAAAGTTTGTCCATGGTGTTAAAGTTTGCCCATGGTGTTAAAGTT